AGCTCAGCATCTCCCACCCACCCTGGCCTTTTGCCCATTCCTTGAACATAGTGAGTTCTTTTGCCTGCCTTCCCGGCTCTGCTGCTACATAAAACCCCCTCTGCCTAGGACATGCTTGCTCCCACACTCTACCTGGGTACCTCCTCTTCCTCTTCCAGGTTTCAGCGGAGACAGCATCCCTTCTGGGAAGTACCCCTGGAACTCTCAGAACCTCCTGACCATCCCCTATTCACAGCCCCCATCATACTGAATGACTCTGAAACTTGCTCTTGAACGGAGAATAGCTAAAGCAAATGGAAGAAATGGTAAGATTAAAGAGCTGAACAGATTTCAAAGAGCAGTTCAAGAAGACAAAGTCAGTTATTATAATGAAATGTGCAAAGACCTGGAGTTAGAAAACCAAAACGCAAGAACATGCTTGGTATTTCTCAAGCTGAAAGAACTGAAGGAAAAATTTAAGCCTTGAGTTGCAATATTGAAAGATTCTATGGGCAAAATATTGAACGAGGCAGGAAGCATCAAAAGAAGATGGAAGGAATACACAGAGTCACTGCACCAAAAAGAACTGGTCGATGTTCATCCATTTCAGGAGGTGGCATATGATCAAGAACCAATGGTATTGAAGGAAGAAGTTGAAGCTGCATGGAAAGAAATGGTGAAGAACAAGTCTCCAGGAATTGATGGAATTCCCATTGAGATGTTTCAACAAATGGATGCTGCACTGGAGGCACTCACTCAGCCATGCCAAGAAATTTGGAAGACAGCTACCTGGCCAACTGACTGGAAGAGATCCATGTTTGTACCCATTCCAAAGAAGGGCGATCCTTTCCACAGAATGATATCGAACAATATCATTACTATCTCATGCAAGTAAAATCTTATTGAAGATAATTCAAAAATGGTTGCAGCAGTATATTGACAGAGAACTTCCAGAGGTGCAGGCTGGATTCATAAGAGGATGTGGAATGAGGGGTATCACTGCTGATGTCAGATGGATCTTGGCTGAAAGCGAAGAACACCAGAAAGATGTTTACTTGTGTTTTATTGACAATGCAAAAGCATTAAATTGTGTGGATCATAACAAATTGCAGATAACATTGAGAAGAATGGGATTTCCAGAACAGATAATTGTACTCATGAGAAACCTGTACTTAGACCAGGAGGCTGTCGTTCGAACAGAACAAGGGGACACTGCATGGTTTAAAATCAAGAAGGGAGTGCATCAGGGTTGTGTCCTTTCACCATACTTAGTCAATATGTATGCTGAGCAAATAATCCGAGAAGGTAGACTATAAGAAGAAGAAAATGGCATCAGGATTGGAGGAAGAATCAATAACAACCTGGAATATACTGATGACACAACTTTGCTCACTGAAAGTGAGAATGACTTGAAACATTTACTGATGAAGATTGAAGAATACAGTCTGCAGTATGGATTACATCTCAATATAAAGAAAACAAAAATGCTCTGGACCGATAAGCAGCATCACGATAAATGGAGAAAAGACTGAAGTTGTCAAAGACTTCATATTACTTGGTTCTACAATCTATACCAATGGAAGCAGCAGTCAGACATCAGACGGTCGTGGTGATGGTGAAAAATGCTGAAAGTACCATGGTCTGCTAAAAGAAGTAACACATCTGTCCTGGAAGAAGTGCAGCCGGAATGTTCCTTGGAAGTGAGAATGACCAGACTTCGTCTCACCTACTTTGATCATGTTGTAAGAAGTGACCATTCCCTGGAGAGGGGTATCCTGCTGGGTAAAAGCAGAGGGTCAATGAAAAGGGAAGGCCCTCAATGAGATGGACTGACACAGTGGCTGCAATGATGGGCTCAGGTACAGCAGGGATCGTGGAGCTGGTGTGGGACCGGGCAGTGATTCGTTCTGCTGTGCATGGGGTCGCTATGAGTCGGAGACGACTCGATGGCACCTAACAACAACAGTCATGCCGAACTGGGATTCTTTCTCTGTTTGTCTCTCCCACGAGGCTGGGAAGGAGGGATCTTGATGATCTTGGTCACAGTTTTATCATCACATATACAGTAGGTATTCAGTCTTCAGTGACTGTATAGGTGGATGTATGAATGAAAAGTCGTCCCATCTCTGGACAAATCAGGACTCAGCACTAGCTGCCATTTTCCTCTGCAACTGGTTTGCCCTCTAGTCTCATCGTCACCCTCCTTCAGTGAGACTTTCCGGAGGCTGCCGGCCTGGGCTCCTGAACTGAACACCACAAGAAAACACCAGTGCACCAGTGCAGGAGATGGGACTCCTCTGTACTTTGACCAATTGCCTCCCTTCCTTTACACACGGCAGCCGGGAGAAGGACGCCCTCCTGCCAAACTTACCAGCTGTAGTCGCGGACAGAGCCTCCCTTAGTCCTGCCTCCATTTTTACCCTGGAGAGCCCTGAAGGAAATCTAATGGTTGATATATATATATATATAATTTTACTGGATTTTGAATATGTATTATATGCACATAGCACTACATTCAAAAGCACAAAAGGATATGCATTGGGAAATAAGTCTGTCTCCTATTCCTGCCCCAATTTGCCCCACAGCAATCTCATCAAGGGCCACTATAGTTACTTTCCTGTTCAGTCTTCCAGAAATAATAAACGCACAAATAAGCAAACACGTCTCTTTTCCACTCAAATCGCAGCTATGCTGCACCTTGCTTGAGAGTGTGAAGAAGATTCTAAACGAGTATGGTAAGAGCACGTGACTGCTAACCAGAAGGCTGGCTGTTCAAACCCACCAGCCGCTCCTCAGAAGGAAGACTGGGCAATCTACTTCCGGGTCCGATGTGAGGGCACGTAACAACAACAACATAGTATTCCATGGTATGAGTGTATAATAACGATATAACCAGTCTCCTACCAATGGCCATTTAGGTGGTTTCCAATCTGTTGCCAACTGCAGTTAATAGCCTTGAACTGCCATTAATTTGCTCATGGACCAACACATCTGGGATGAAATTCTAGAAGTGGAATTTCTGGGCCAATGACTGTATTTGTCCTCTCGCTATCCACTGCCAGCTCGACCTCCTCGGAAGGTGCGGATGACTTTTGCACTGGCCGCGGACAAGAATGCCCATTTATCGGCAGCGTCGCCCACACCGTGTGCTAACTGATGTCTGTTATATCTCAGGGGAGTTTGATTTTCCTGTAACTTTCAAATCGCAAATACTTAGTGATGCCGACTGTGCCAGGCCGCTGGGAGCACGGGGGACTCGATGAATCAGCCTCTGCCCGGTGGCGCTCTCTGCTGGGGGAGACAGACGTAAACAGGGATCGACAAGGCAGTGTGAGCAGTCTGAGCACTGGAAGCTAGCGAGCAGGGACAGATACTCCGGGAAGGCTCCTCGGAAGAGGTGACCGGGGCTGACTCCTGAAAGAAAGGAAGGTATTCCCAGGGAGAAGAGCTTGGGTGAGCAAAGGTTCCGGGCCAACCACCACAGGTGGCTCGGACCCCCTTCCTCCGCCCGCCCCCAGGTCACTGCGGATCTTTAAGCCCCGCCCACAGCCCCGCCCCTACGGATAGGGAGGAGGAGGGCCAAACTCCCTCTTCCCTCCGAGCGCTTTCTGCGGGGGAGGGGCCTGAGGATGCGCGGGGTGGTGGTGGTGCTGGTGGTGGGGGAAAAAAAAAAAAAAAAGGGAGCCGGCGTCGTCAAGGCAACTAGGCCGGTGGTCGGGGCCCGGAGACCCTGGAGGGAAGGCTGGAAGAAGCGAGGGAGGGAGACACAGTGGGTGCACGCACGGGCCCAGGTCTCCGGGGAGGAGTTGGGAAACACCAGGCGATTCTCACTGTTGATTCCTGGTGGCGCAGGGAGCCCGTGTGTTTGCGAAGTTCTCCGGGTGAGTGTGCCAGTGCGTGTCTGGGTTCGTGCATGTGTGTGAGCGTGCGCACGTGGGCACAGGCGTGTGCGCGCGGGAGTGCCCATGCAAGATGTGTGTGCCAGCCTGCGTGCCCACGAGTGTGTGTGCACGCGCACACGTGTCCGTGTGAGCACGCGTGTGCGCTCCCCAGGGTGCCCGCGCGGGCAGGCAGCCCGGGCGGAGCGGAGAGGCCCGCCCCCTCCCCAGTCGCCGGCCGCCCCTCCCCGCCCCCCGCCGCCTGCGCCGGCTGCATCCTCCCTCCACCTCGCTCACCCCCTCCTCCCCGCACTTTCTCCTTCTCTCCCTCCCTCTCGGCTCACACAGCCGGACTCCGCGCTCTTCTTCTCGCTGGCCGCCCCGGGAAGCACCGGCCGCCACCGCCCAGGCTGCACCCGCCGTCCCCCCAGTGCCCGGTCACCTGTTGGACGCACAGAGACAGGTGCAGTGGGCTGGGCCGGCGGGGGCTTGAGGGTGAGGGTGAGGGTGTGTGTTAGCCTCTGTGTGCCTGCGGGGGGTGATCCGCTCTCCAGCGGCTGCAATTGCTGTCTTCCTGGAGGGCCAAGCTCAGGGAGAGGCATCTGAGGCGGGGGTCCTCACCTTTGGCTGGAGGGAGCCATCAAGCAGGCAGGCAGGCAGATCCTGGGGTGGAATGGAGGGACAGTTAGCCCCCAACATGGGGAGGGGTGGGCCTGGTGCAGAGGGATGTACAGAGCCTCCCAGGGACAGACAGAGGGGCCTGATGGTGCCGCTCAGTGGGAGGGCAGGGCCCAGAGCCAGATGGAAGCCCACAGTGAAGGGCAGGAGCTGGGAAGATGAACAAAGGGACAATTGAGAAGAAAGTGGACAAGACTGAGATGAAGCTAGAGCCTATCCTGGGGGGGAGTGGGCTGGTAGCCAAGTGCCTGTGGGGCAAGGCTTGGGGTCTGGAGGGCCCCAGCCTCTTGCCTGCCCACCCGCTGGTCCTGGCCACCCTCTCCCTCAACACCCAGGAAGGAAGGACAGTGAGGGTCCCCCAGGTAGATGGGGTTGCCGCAGGGCCCCTCAGCCAGCAGAGGGCAGGTAAGAGGAACAAGCCCTGGGCTCATGCTGTCTCCCCTCTCCCCCAGCCAAGGGTGCTGCATGAGGGGCCGCAGGGGCGACCGTATGACCATCAACATCCAGGAACACATGGCTATCAATGTGTGCCCAGGGCCCATCCGGCCCATCCGCCAGATCTCTGACTACTTCCCCCGCCGGGGACCAGGACCCGAAGGGGGTGGCGGAGGCTACCGGGAGACCTCTGCTGGTCTGGCTCCCCTGGCCTTGGCTCCCCCTGCAGCCCTTCTTGGCGCCACCACGCCTGAGGACGGAGCTGAGATGGACAGCTATGACTCCGATGAAACCAGTGCGTGTGGGGGCTCAAAGTGCCTAGGGTGCTAATGGGGACCTCCAGGCTTGTGGGGAGAGGACTGGGCCCTGTGGTGTGCGTGTGTGCATGGGGTGGAGGGGGGGAAGGCAGCGGGTGCTGCCCCCACAGCTGCAGTCATCATGGAGACTACCACCTCAGCTAGGCTCAATATGAAATATTTCGGCTGAGCCACTCAACCACCCACACAGTCCCAGTTGTGGCTGAGCCAAGGGACCCAGACAGCCAGGCAGATGGACAGACACACACACACACACACACACACATGCCCACTCACCTTCTTGCACACACACTCCCAGGCTGATAGAGACACACACTTTGACAGCCGGCACACCTGTCTTTACACGCTGACTCACTTACCTTCTCTCCTCTTCCTCCAGCCGCCTTGGGCATGTTGGAATTTGACCTTCTCTATGACCAAGCTTCCTGCACACTGCACTGTACTATCCTCAGGGCCAAGGTGGGCACTCCTTGCTCTCCAAGCCCCGGAAAGGGTGGGCTTCCATCTTTCCTTCCCTTCCCCAGGCCTGACCCTTGCCCTCTCTTCCTCCACCCCCTTCCTGACTCTCCACACCTCAAGACTCCAGCTCTGCAGGAGGAGGGAGGAAGGGAGGGAGGGGCTGGCACCCATAGTCCTCTTCTCTCCCCTCCTCCCCCAGGGCCTCAAGCCCATGGATTTTAACGGCTTGGCCGACCCCTATGTCAAGCTGCACCTGCTGCCTGGAGCCTGCAAGGTAGGGGGCCTGCTTCCTCCCCCAGCCTGGCCCAGTCTATGGGTTTGCCCTAGACCCTTCCAACTCCAGCCTTCAGCCTCTGTGTGACTGGGAACATGGATCTGGAACCCTTCGTCCCCACACCCCAGGCCAATAAGCTCAAAACGAAGACCCAGAGAAACACACTGAATCCCGTGTGGAACGAGGACCTGACGTACAGTGGGATCACGGATGACGACATCATTCATAAGGTGCTCAGGTGAGGCCTCCACCCTCCCTGTTCTAGAGGATTCCGCTTCGCACTGGCTCGGGGACAGCTGCGGGTGTAACCTTCTTTGTTGCTCATCTTCCATTCGGTCCCTACATTGCCATTACTCCACAACACTCAGTGGCTCCCATTCCCTTTGGCAGCAGGCCACAAGGCTTCCCTGGTATTCCTCCTCCTCGAACACAGACCTGCCCCCTTCCAAGTGGTCAGTTGCCTTACTCCTGCCTTTGACCTGCCCCTCCATCTGAGGCTCAGCCCAAGCTTGGTGACCTCCTGGAAGCTTTCTCTGGTCACCAAGACTCCTTCTCAGAGCCCTGACTTAAGTCAGACCTCTGCAGATGTCCATCCTGCTCCCTGCATTCCCCTGAAGTCTCAAAGGAGTGACCTCTTTCTTCAGAGGCAGAAATCTTCCTCCATCATCGCAGGAGGTGGAGCTGTGGGAAGCATCCCCTCGAGCCAGTGAACCCAGGCTTGTGCCCGTGACCTCACTCTTTGTTCGCCCTGTCTGAGCAATAGGGAGCCATGGAAGGGTTTGCAGCAGGGAAGAAGGGGCATGGTCTGGGCTGTATTAGAGATCATGGTGGTGATGAGGTATGGAGATAGACTGGAAGGATCAGGTAAGAACCAGAAAGGCTGGCATCAGATTCCAGATGTGAGAAGAGGGCTGCAAAGAACTGACAGAGTGTTCCTCGGGGCCCAGCTGGGCCCGTTTCAGTTGTTCCTCAACTAGCTTTAGGAGGTAGGCACTTGAGGACTGGGAGGTGCGGTCTGGAGATGGGATTTGAGGATTAGGAAGTGAAGTGACTTGTCCAAGGTCACACAGGGAGCTAGGAAGTGAAGCACTAGGAGCTGCAGAAGGGGACAGGAATACTTTCGTGACCTTGGGGCTCCTGGTGGTCTCTTCTGGGCTGGCTCCCTGCTCCCTGGAGAGGAGGGAGGGCCAGAGCACAAGGCCCTGCTAGCTCTTAGATTCTGACTCTGAGACCCACACCTACCAATGCACGCCCTGTGCCAGCAGAGTGGGTCCTGCCCTTAAGCCCTGAATGGAGAGGCTGAAGGGGTGGCCCAGACCTGTGAGGGTGTACTGGAGTAGCTGAGGCTGAGCAGGGCCTGATGGACGAGGGCAGCCCCGAATGGGAGGGGCGGAGGAACAGGGCTAGATCGTCCCCCTCAAGCCCAGGCCTGGTGCTCGCCTCGCAGCGCATCTGACAGCTGGGACGGGAGGAGGATTTAGGGAGAGCTGGGAGCAGCCTTGGGGCCCCGGTTCCATCCGAGGCCTTTTCTCCCACACTGGAGCAGGGCTCAGGTAACCCCGGGGGCCCTGACCCTGCAGTTCCCCGCCAGGATCTCCGTCTGCGATGAGGACAAGCTGAGCCACAACGAGTTCATCGGGGAGATCCGTGTGCCCCTCCGCCGCCTCAAGCCTTCCCAGAAGAAGCACTTTAATATCTGCCTTGAGCGCCAGGTCCCGGTCTGTGGGGTGGGGGGTTGCAGGGACACCAGGGGGCAAGGGCACTGGGAAGGTCAACTGTCCAGAATCTTCTCTCTGCCCTCAGCTGGCCTCACCCTCTTCCATGTCTGCGGCACTGAGAGGCATCTCCTGTTACCTGAAGGAGGTGAGGTAACTCGGAGACCTCCGGTGGGTGGGTGGGTGGGTGGTGGCGGGGGCAGGACCTAGGCTGAGCCCCGTCCCTGCCCTGCAGCTGGAACAAGTGGAACAGGGCCCTGGGCTGCTGGAGGAGCGCGGCCGCATCCTGCTAAGCCTCAGCTACAGCTCTCGGCGCCAGGGGCTGCTGGTGGGCATTGTGCGCTGCGCCCACCTCGCTGCCATGGATGTCAATGGCTACTCAGACCCCTATGTCAAGACGTGAGCCCTCATCCTGCCCTGAGGCCCCCTCCCCCTCCCCGGGAAGCCTGGACCCTCCTAACAGTACCACTGCCCTACCCCCAGGTACCTGAGGCCGGATGTGGATAAGAAATCCAAGCATAAAACATGTGTGAAGAAGAAGACCCTGAACCCAGAGTTCAATGAGGTAAATGGGGCCGGGGCCAGAGAGCGAGGTGGGCTGGAGGACAGGCCAGGCCTGATGAAGGTGGGCTTGTCCTCTCAGGAGTTCTTCTACGAGATGGAGCTCTCTGCTCTGGCCACCAAGACTCTGGAGGTCACAGTGTGGGACTATGACATTGGCAAATCCAACGACTTCATCGGTGAGCGGAGCCGCCCAGCTGGGTGGTGCTGATGGGGCACACTGGCAGTAAGCTGGGCCCTGACCTTGCCTGCTTCAACCTGCTCCCCAGGTGGCGTGTCCTTGGGGCCAGGCGCCCGGGGGGAGGCCCAGAAACACTGGGGCGCCTGCCTGCAACAGCCTGACAGAGTGCTAGAGCGCTGGCACACCCTGACCAGCGAGTTGCCTCCCGCCGCTGGGGCTCTCCCCTCAGCCTGAACGATGTGGCAGCTCCCAGCGCAGCCCCTGGGGCTGCACCCACCGCCTAACCTTCGCACGAGTGTGTTGCACGTTTACACGGGGTGGGCTGCCCCTGCCCCGCACTTCCTGTCTTATTCTGTGAGAGTCTCTGTGACCTGTGGGCCTGTCTTCTCGTGAGGGACTGTGGGGATCTATATTCAAATATGCAAATCTCCTCCTCCTGCCTGATCGCTGATACACGAATATGCAAACCACCCATCCTCTGCCCCTGCTGGGGAAGTACTGTCAGTGGCCCTGCCCCAAGGCCAGCTGCCAGCTCCTCCCTCCTGCCTCCCCATGCTGCCTGTCCCCCTCCCCACAGGGAGGAGGTCAGATTGGGGGGGGCTTGGACAAGGACGTTTGCAAAAAAGGACAAGACGACTGAGAGCGAGCCACCCCCTTTAATACAGTTGTCATGGAAAACACTCCGCCCTAGAAGCTGCCCTCTCACAGGGGTGGCCACTGCAGGGTCTCTCTGCCTGCCCAAGAGGTGGCAGATGCTCCCAGGCCACTCCTTTAAATGAGTAACTGTACCCCGATGGGGCCCAGCTGTGAGGACAGGGGCCCACCTTCCCGGGGACATTCGTGCATGTTTACGCCTTTTCTGATCGTGTCAGTGGCCGAAGCATGGCAACTGGGTGTCAATAAACGTCTCTGAGGAAACTCGGGGCTCATGTGTGCGAGCATGGCAGGGGCCCAGGGGGCCCTGAGCAGGGCGCAGGTGCCAGGTCACTCCGGGATATCTATCACCAGGTCATCGTCCCCATCCAGGGCGTCATCGCCGCTGCCTGTGTCGCTGAACATCTGCCGAGGGACGGTGCTCAGGATCGTGTGTGGGGGCATCTTGGGAGGGGGCAGTGGGGCCAGGGCTGCCCCCACCCCAGCCCCAGCACCTCGACCCGGGAAGGTCAGCGGCCCTCCCACAGGACAGTCGGGGGGTCCCACCGCCATCTGCAGCAGGAGGAAGAAACACAGGGAGGACTTTGTCAGGGGGGGCCCCCCTCAAGGCAGTTCTAGGGGACAGGGAAGGGGGCAAAGGCAGTGGATATGAACTGGCTGGCCACCGCTGGACTCGGGGCCTGCCCCCACTTCAGCCCCTTCTGAGTGCCCAGCCAGCAAGTGGCTGGGAGTAAGGGGTGATGGAGGTGTTGATGAGGGTGGGGGAGGGCTTCAGGAAACTGGGAGGGAGAGCCTGGCCCTGCACTCCCCAGGGAGGCCCCCTTAGCTGCCCTTGTAAAAGCAGAGTCAGGGCCAGCCTGCCTGCCCGCCTGCCTGCCTGCCGGGACCCTCAGCTATGACTTGCCACCACTGGTTCCTGGCCCTCCTCCTGCAGGACTGACTGGTTCAGTGGAGGGTATCACAGGCCACCCAAGCCCCCCTCCCCGTCCTTCTGAGGCGTCTACCTCTTGTATCTTGGGGGGCCCCTCCTCGGGATCCCCGCAGCCACCGGCCTAGGCCAGGCCCTCCTCTCAGCTCACCTGTGCTACGGTACCAGCCTCCTAACTGGACTCCCTGCCTTCAGCCTCTCCCAGCTCCAGCTCCTCCTCCACACTGCAGCCAGAGTGCTCTCTCTAAAACACAAACCTGAGCATGTCATTCCTGAGGGCCGGCAGGCTCTCACTGCTCGTGGGACAGGCTGGCGGCAGACCTGGGCACAGGCCGGCCCCTCCACCTGGAGTGGCCTCTATTGGTCCAAGTCCTGCTTTGTCCTCTGAGGCTGGGAAGTGGCCTCTATCCTGCCCAACCCTCCGTCCCCCTCCCCTGCCAGGTATGAGTCCTCCCCAATGCAAATGCACCGTCTCTGGGCCTTGTCGACAGGCCTCATGCTCCGCCTGTAGGTACAAGCTGTGTTCTTACTATGTGCCAGAGAATTTCTGTTAATGACCTTGGACCCTCACCCTGGGAGGGCGGAGAGCTGAACTGCCAGAGGAGGAATCAGGCTGGGAACTGGAAGTGTCCAGAACAGGCCTGCCAGCTCCCCACTGGGCAGTATCCAGCTAGGTGTGGGGTGGCAGCACTTACGTGTGGTCTTCCCGGTAGGCCTTCTGATTGTCTCCTAACCCTTTCAGCCTTCAAGCTCTACCCTCTGCTTGTCAAGGAGCCCCCCACCTCACTGCCGTCCCTGGCGCTGGCTTTTCCCTCAGTTGGTGCTTCAAGGTTCAGGACCTGCCAACAGGCCCACCTCTGAACAGTGCCCTTACACCCAGCACCCAGCACCCACGGACACATGGAAGCAGACACACATGCTCAGCTGAAAGGACACCTACATGAGGGCTGCCCTCTCTTCAGTCACCGCCCCTCCATCCCCAGCCGACTCTCCAGCCCTACCCTTGCCTGGACTCCTTCAGCGGCCTCCTCATGGATCTTCGGCATGATCAATAACTCACTGCCATTCAGTCAATTCTAACTCAGAGTGACCCCCAGTGGGTTTCCAAGCTAGTAAATCTTTAAGGAAGTGGATTGTTCCAGCTTCCTTCCATGGAGCAGCTGGTGGGTTTGAACCACCAACCTTCCAGTTAGCAGCCAAATGCCTTAGGCACTGTGCCACCAGAGCTCCTCAGCATGACCAATAGCAACCAGTATTTAATACATGGCTTACCAGGAACCAGGCACTGGATTGAATGGATTTACCCCTTAGCTCAGTTTATCCTCACAATGATCCCATTTGTCAGAAAAGCAAGCTGAGGCTCAGAGAGTTAGAGGACATGCCCAAGGTCACACAGTGAGTGAGCAGAGGAGCTGAGATTCAAACTCACGTCTGACTAAGGCCCAAACTCTGAGATGACCTGTTCATTCTCCACAGCTTTCCATCCTCCGCTCAGCCCTGCTATCTCCAGTCTTCACACCAAGTCACTCACTAGTTCTCAGTGACTCCCACTACCCTCAGCCGCAGCACGCAGACTCTGATGCTGGGTGCCGAGGTCTTCTATGACCTGACCCCATCTTACCTTTCTTTCCAAGGTGGTTTGCTCTTTTCACTCCTGCTCCAGCCCAAACTTTCTCCATGTCCCTGTCCTCATGTCCACTACTCCCTCAGCCTGAAATACCTAATTCCACTTACTCTGCGCTCAAATGTCACTTCTTCTTTGATGTCTTCCCTGATTTATCCCCTCTCCCTAAGCACAGCAATTGATGTGGTCCCCTCTCCCAACCAAGGTTTTCTCTCAAGGATGTCAGAACTTAGCTCCCCAACATTCCTCTAATTCAGAACCCAACACCAAGGAGAAAGCTTCAAAAACACCTCCCTCCTGCCCTGTGCCCATGCCATCTCACACCTGCACCTCACCTACTCCAGGCCTCACTGACCCCCACCTTCTCTGCCACTCTGCCCTTTACGCCTGAAGCAAAAAAACAACAGAACCTAAACCCACTGCCACTGAGTTGATTCCAACTCACAGTGACCCATTAGGACAGAGTAGAACCGCCCCACAGAGTTTCTAAAGCTGTCAATCTTTACAGAAGCAGGGTGCCTCATCTCTCTCCCACGGAGAGGCTGGTAGGTTTGAAGCAGAGCTCCCCACCTATGGCCAGAAGCAAGTAACCTGCTGAACAGAGCAAATAATATTTTCACTCCCACCTTTCAGGCTCAAGAGGTTCAGTTACACAGGGCCAAGGTCACACAGGGAGGAAGTGGCAGAGCTGGGGTTCAGACTGCACAATCCACACTCGTAAACTGCTACCACACTCGTAAACCGCCACCAACGTGGCTCCCCATCACGTCTGGCTCCAGAGCTGAGTTTACAATCCACTCAACTTGAGAGTGGCCCAGCCTGGACCCTTTTCCGTTTTGATTCAGAGCTGGGCACTGGCCTTCTGTCTTCTGTCATTCCTCTCATTGCTCCTGGGGCTCAGGCTCAGATCTCTTGTCTTTTTCAACCACACACTGCCCTCCATGACCGCCTCATATCCACGCTGATGACTTCCAAAATTGTACCCCCATGAACCCCAGGCGCCCACATCCAGTTTCCGGTTGACCTTTCCAGGAGGCATCTTAACACAGCCAGGGCCAAATCTCTCATCATCCCCCTAAAACCTGCTCCTGACATCCTCCTCTCCATCTCAGGAAAAGGCAACCACACTTCTTCAGTTGCTCAGGCTGAAATCCCTGGAGTCATCCTTGACTCTTGTCTTCTCACAGCTCACAACGGGTCTTTCCGGAAATCATGAAGCTGATTCTTTAAAACATCCACAGTCCACTTCCAACCTTCTCACAGTTAATGCTTTACTGTAGTGGCTTCTTCACTGGCATCCCTGCTTCCACCTTGCAGGCCTTCCTCGACCCCTCACCCAGGACCATCTCCACACAGCAGTCTCAGTCATTCTGCTAAACTCTAAGTAAGTGAGACCAGATCTCTCATCTGTGCAACCCTTTCCAATGGTTCCTCATGTCACTCACAGTAGAGGTCAAGGTCTCTACAAGGCCTGCCACACTCTAGCCCCTCAGTTACTAATCTGACCTGCTCTCTGATCACTCCTTCCCCTCTCTCACTGGCCAACCACCTTGGTCTCCTTCCTGGTTCTTGAATAAACCAAGCATGTACCCTCCTCAGGGCCTTTGCACTGATTGTTGTTCTGACTGAAACACGTCCTAGAAAGTCACAGGGCTGGTTCTCATCTCCTTGAAGCCTCCGATAAAGTAACGCTCCAGACCACCTGATCTGAATGGCCGCCCCCATCCAACCAGGACGCCCATCCTGTTTACGTAAGCCCATTCCTCTCTACTGCTCCGTTTCTTTTCTGTGAGCACCACGAGGCCAGGGAAGTCTGCTCTGTTCACTATTGCATCTGCAGCCTCTAGAACAGTGCCTGACACGTAAACCAACTAAAAGTTGAGTGTCGCAAAAAAGGGAAAAGCTGTTGATTAAATCTAGTCTGATCACTCACTTTACAGATGCGGACCTGGAGACTTAGAGAGTCAAAGAGACTGGTTCAAGGTCGCATGATTCTTAACTGAAGAAGCTTTGACTGGTTTCCAGACCTCAGAGCTCTTTCTACTCCTCTCGGCTGCCTGGATTACAGAACATCTCCAAGTAAAAACTTGGCTTTACTGCCGGCCACACTGCGGCAATGAGAGCTGGCCCAGGAGTCCTGACTCCAAGTTCCCAAGGATGGTTCTGTCCCTGATCTGTCTCCACAACGAGCTATGGGCCAGGCCCTCTCTGAACCATCCCCAGAGCCTGGCTCTGGCCTGGGCCCCAGCAGCCCCAAATCAGTCAAAGTTCTTGGACAGGCCCCCAGACACTGTCCGGAGCCTCCCTCCCTCGGATGGCTGTTTTCCTGCCGTTCGGCGCCCCCCTGGCCTTCCCAAATCAGGGTACCTTGAGTTTCCGGGGCAGGCGGGGCCGTTTCTCCCGCTTGGGCCTCAGGGGGCTGGGCTCGGGCAGCTGCAGGGCCAGGTAGTCAGAAGGGAATGGGGGGTAGGTAGGGGAGGCCAGCTGCTGTGGCGGAGTCGGAGTCGGGGAGATGGACGTGGGAAACGGAGTGGATTGGGGTGGGGGGTGAAGGGGAGAAATGCAAACAGAGGAAGAATGGAAAAACAAAAGACATGGTGATGAGTGCGGGCTCCTTGGTTCCCGGAGAGAAGGGGAGGGGACAGCAGGAGGACTTTGTCCTGGGGTCTGCTCTCCTCAGTCATGTCTGTCCCCCATTCCTACACCAGAGAGAGGAAGTGGGCAGCCCCGACTCACACCCTCCAAAGGGTGTTTGCTGGCCACATCCGGACAGATGTCCCCAGAGCTGGGCCATCTTCACCCCGAAGCCTGGCCCCTCTGCCCCAATGATACCCGCCTTATTCCCAGGCACCTTAGTTCACCATGTCCCACCTTTGACCCCAACTCACCGAGCTCAGGTATGGGGAGGGGGCCCCAGAGGCCTGAAGGGGAAACCCTGTTGAAGGAGGCAGGGAGAGGCTGGAGGGGGAGGGGGAACCCCCCAGCGGAGGGCTTCTCTTCCTGGAGAAAGGACAGGGAAGGGGTCAGAGGCAGCTAGGAGGGCACGTGTCCCACTCCCTACCCTCCCACAGACAGGAAACCTGGCTTCTCCTCACCTCTTGGGGGCTGGCGTGTCCGACAACTTGGGCGTCCCCTCTGTCTCGCTGTTATCCGAAGAGGCAGTGGCATCTGAGTCTGTGAGGGGAAGGCTGGTTCACTGAGGGGTGGGGGCCCCAGTCTACCCCAGAGGGGTGCAGGTCTATGGAGAGCCAGAGGATGTGGCTGTTCACATGCCACGTGGTCTCTTCTAGGGAGGCCCCTAGCTCCTCCTTGTGCTCTTCTCCCCTCCAAGGCCTCCTCACTTTATGGAAGTCCCTCACAGTAAGTATCACAAGGTCGGGGCACCACCATATCACCTCACCCTGCCACCCACTCCCACCCAAGAATGACCTGAAATGCCAACCTGCCCACACCCCTCCTGCTGATGCGCCCCACCATCTGCAAGTACCCTACGTGCTTTGCAGCTGGTCCTTGATCTGCCTTTCCGGTCTCCTAAAAACACTGTACATCACATCCAACTACTTCCTCAAAAAAATTTATTTTCCAGTTGGACAGCACTGCCTGAGCTCTGGCAGTGTAGTGGTTAAAGCATCCAGCTGCTAACCAAAAGGTTGGTGGTTTGAACCCACCAGCCACTCTGCGGGAGAAAAATGAGACAGTCTGCTTCCATCAAGATTTACGCCTTGGGAAAGGTATATATGGAAGGAAACTTGCTTTGTTGGTTACCAAGGATGGGAGGGGAAGGGAAGGAACACTGAGGAAAAAAAAAATGCACTGACCCATGCTAGTCTTGTGTATTTCACTGCACATAATTATATTTCAATAAAATGTATTTTAAAAAATAAATAGCCACTAAAAAAAAAAAAGATGTTGACATATTGTGATAAACGTAACTAATATCACTGAATAATCTGTACAGAAATTGTCAAATAGGAACCTAAAGCTGTATAAATTTTCATCAAAAAACTCAATAAAATATTATTTACAAAAATAAAGATCTACAGCCTTGGAAACGCTATAGAGTGGCTATGAGATGAAAACGACTTGATGGCAGTGGGTTTCTGTTTTGGTATGCCACTGCCTAAAAGGCTTGTCTTCACTAACAGTTGCTACACGATATACGTCACTTCCAGTTTCTCTGCTCAGATGATCCTTAAGAAACAGGCTAAATGCCATTTCCTCTGTGAAGCCTTCCAGACCACCTCAGGCCCAGTTCATTACTGGCCCTTTCGGAGCTCTCTTACTCTCACTTGTCCTAGCTCTCCTCACACTCTGCCGAGAAGTACGATGTGTGGGGGTCTCCCTGACAAGACTGCAGGCTACTCTGGAGCCGGAGTAGTGGGCTCCATCTCCGAGTCTTGCTCCTCAGATTAATATACTCTGATCATGAACATGCTGGGTTCTCTCACGTCTTCTGCTTCAATTCCCTCTTCTGTCTGAATTTCCCCTCAACCAGGAAGTTGGAAGATCTTAGGGAAGGAATAAGTAGGGAATGAGAGGCAAGAATAAAAGCCAAACTTTTTGCCATGACCAACATCACCTGACCCCACTTAATTTCTGATCTCATCTACTATTCTCTTAAAATACACAAATAAATGGGCACTACATGTTCCAATGGGCGCTCCGTAGCCTAGTGCCTAAGGCATTTGGCTGTTAACCAGAAGGCTGGCGGTTCAAACCCACCAGCCACTCCTCAGAAGGAAGGTCGGGCAATCTACTTCTGTAGTGATACTGCCTCAGAAACCCAAGGAGGGATCACTATGAGTTGGATCTGACTCGACGGCAGTGAGTAGTTTTAGAGTACATGTTCCAATAAAGCATTATTTACAAAACTAAGCAGGCTGGCTGTAAGCAGTTTATTGATTTCTGCTCTAAACCAATATTCAGAGGCACTGTGAATGCCCCATAGTGGCACAAAGCCACAAATGCCCACCTCAGGAGATTTTTCAAACTGTGGGTCTCAAGCTATTCATGGGTCATGAAATCAATTTAGTAGTCTGCAACCAGCATGAAAAAGAAAAAGACGTCTAAAAAGTATCAGGATAAACTACATGTAGTGATCTGATCTCGTTGTTGTTATGTGCCATCGAGTCGGCCCTGACTCATAGCGACCCCTCCTTGGGTTTCCGAGATCTGATCTTACTACTGCCTCATTAAATTTCTGTATCTGTAATCCCCTTTCTTGGAAAGTGCTCACTCATATCCTCACACGATTTGTTTCTTCTTATAATCTAGGTCCCAGTTCAAATAACACGTCCTAAAAAAGGCCTATCTTGATCACTTTACTGAGCTTTTACCTGTTACCTGCTTTTCAATGGTCTGCAAGCTAAGATGGCCTTTACATCTTTAAATGGTTGGGGGAAAAAAGTAGTATTTCGTGACATGTGCAAACTGTATGGAATTCAAATTTCAATGTCCATAAATAAAGTTTTATTGAAATACTGCCACGATCATTTATTTATGTATGTTGATGGCTGTTTTCACACCATAGCAGTAAGCTGAGCAGTTGTGACAAAGCCTGTAAGTCCAAGAAAATCTGAAATGTTTACTACCTGGCCCTGTCCATCTCCGTGAAATGTCAATCACTAACACCTCATTCTGTTTTTACTCCTTTCAAATCCCTCACCACTCTCTAAAGCTCTACCTTCTTTTCTTTGTTTACTTGCCCCGCCCCCCACCTCTGCCCCCATCTAGAATATGAATTGCAAAAGGCCAAGGGCTTTGTCCATCTTGGTTACTGCCATATGCACTGCTCCAAACACAGTGCCTGAAACAAGATAGATACTTGATAAATACTTGAGCAAAACAAGGAATGGTAAGGGTGGGAACTTAGGAGGCTGCACAAGCCTCCACTACTTAAAAGGAGGGGCCCAAGAAGCTAAGTGCCAGAAGCCATGTCTTCTGTCAATTTCTCATGACCTTGCTCACCAGAAGAGTCTTCGTCCACGTTCTCATACTGCAGAAGTCGGTCGAGAAGAAAACTGAGGGAAGAGGTGGGGAGAACAAGAGCGTTTATTCCCATCTCAGCGACACTCTCCCGGGTCCTCTCCCCGCCTGGTCTGCCCGCTGGATCCTCAGAACAACTTCGGGCAGCACCAGGTCCTGGTGACCGTGTTCCAGGACGGGGCCTGCTAACGGTTCCACAAGAACCACATCACCACCCTCCTCCCGCAATGTGCCTCACCTCTTGTCCCGGGACACCTTCAGCAATTTCCTCTGCGCCTTCCTTAGCTCCTCCTGGAAGCACTCGTGTTCCTGCACCACGGGCAAAGTGGGTGCTGAGTCAACGGCCGTCCAAAAAGGGCCCCAGCGGCCAGCGACAGCTCCCTCCACGCTCTTTACACATGGGTAAACTGAGGTTCTGTCAGCGCCCGGCCTCACCACCCACAACCTCTCCACCCGAGCACTCACGTAGATGAGAAACTTGAGCTTCCGCTTCAGGTTCCGATATTTTTTTTTGTAGTCTACCTCGCCATCCGCCGGCCCGTTCATGACCGGCCGCCAGAGCAACGCCCAGCGTCAGAAGTCCCGCTACCCCGAGCGGGCTCAACCCGACTTCGACTTCCGGAGATTCTGCAGGGCTCTGCCTATAGGGACTACAACTCCCGGCGTACACCGCGCACAGGGAGCGTAGGCACACAGATTGCCCTCATGGGAAATACCAGGGACAGGAATGTTGCTTCAAGTGGCTACGCTAAAGATGGCGTCGCAGCGACGCGATTATGTCCCAAAAATGGCGGATGCCGGAATGCGCCTTTACTGATGGAAAATGTGCTTAAATTTGAAGCCACAAAAAGAAACTCCCCAGGTACTTCTAGTATTCTTGCGAGGATGCCCTTTTTCTTCTGCTTTTAGAAATAACAGCAGCACAACTGTCGCCTGTGACCAAGAGCCATGGAGGCAGCGTCGCGGGTTGATTACGTCACACCCAAGGGTGCCAGCCCCCAAACGGTTTCTAATGAGAACTTTTTCAAAGATTCATTCTAAGGGATGGAACCCCGAGACCCTCTAACTACCCGGGGGAAGCAAGCTTTGTCTGGTAAAGTTCTCTCGGCTCAAGCAGCGAACGAGACCCAAGGGTCCCTCGGCTCACGGTGCCACGGCACTGCGCATGCGCGACCTTCTGTCAAACGCGCTAACGGAGGCCGGGAAGAAAAAAGGCGGGAGTCACCAATCCCGGGTGGGCCAAAATGGCGCGGGATAGCGAGATGCAGGAGTTTACCCGCAGCCTGTTCCGAGGACGCCCGGACCTCAGGTGCACTGGGGGCTGGAGGTGGGAATGGAAAGGGCAGGGGCGGGGCGGCGCACCCCATCCTCACACCATGTCCCCGCAGTACTCTCACGCACTCCATCGTGCGGCAGAGGTTCTTGGCTCACGTGGGCCGCGACCATCTGGAACCGGAGGAGAAGCAGGCGCTGAAGCGGCTGGTGGAGGAGGAGCTGCTGAAGATGCAGGTGTGGGCAGGAGCTTGGGCCACGGGAGGCGGGGCTTGTTGCCTAGGAGGAGGGGCCTGAGGGGGTGGGGCAGAATACAACCTAGGTACTTGCTTTGCCTTCTGGATGCACACAGGTGGATGAAGCGGGTAACAGGGAGAAGCTAGACCTCACGAAAAAGGTGAAGAGGCCTCCCACTCCCTCCAGTGATCCAGAGAGAAAAAGGTTCCGTTTCAACTCAGAGTCAGGTTAGTGCCGCCTCCCAGCCACCAGCACCTTCTGCATTATTCAAAACGTTTTTATTGAGCATGAACTCTGTATCAAGGTGTTAGATGACGCTGGAGGATACTGAGTCAGGAGCCAGATCAGGGTGAACTTGTAGCTGTCAGAGCAGGACTAGAGGTAACCTGTCCTAAATGAAGGGATAAGGGACAGGACGAACCAGTTCCATCCCTTTCTTCTCTCCATTTTCCAGAGCTCGGCTCTGCAGCCTCCAGTCCAGACAGCTTTGGCTCCCCAGCAAAGAATGGGATGGCAGCAGCAGAAGCCAGTTCATCCGAGAAGAGTCCAAAGCGAGCCCCAGAGAACGCAATGGAAGAAAGCAGAGATGAGGGAGAACAGCCCGGGAACCTGACTGCAAAGCTGGGATTAGAGGAGGTGATGAAGGAGGGCAGTGAGGAGGAAGAGGAGGAAGGCTCTGCCAGAACAAGTAAGGTCTGGAAGGAAGAGAGTAGTGAGGAAGAGGAGGAAAAGGAGTTCCAAGACAAGACCAGGAAGAAGACTGTGACGAAGAAGAACAAGCAGACATCAAGCAAGGCCTCAGCCAGTAGGAAGCAGGCCAGGGAGGAGAGTGAGGGCAGTGAGGATGAACCTGCCCCGAGGATGGGAAGGAAGGGGCAGGGGAAGAGAGGAGCGAAAAGCCACCAGGAAAGTGAAGAGGACAGTGAGGGTGAACAAGAGGAGAGCCCAGCTGAGCAGAAAGGCAGCGAGGAGGAAGGGGAGGGGGGAGAAGAGGCGGCCGAGGAGCAGGAAAGGAAACACAAAGCCATGAGTAACACAGGGAAGAGGTTCGCTTGGGAGAAGAACTTTAAGCAAAAGAGCAGGACAGAGCGGCTCACAGGGGACTGGGGAGACAGAGGTGAAGAGAAGGAAGAAGAGGCAGCAGGCAGTGGGGATAACATGGGGGGAGATGAAAAGCCCCCAGTGAAGAGGAAGAGCAAGGACAGGACCCAGTGTGAGGGCGGGGAAGGGCCGAGTGGCAGCAGCGAGGATGGGGAAGACAGCTGGAGAAAGGTGAAACTAAGGAATAAAGGCTCTAGAAAGGCAGCCGAAGTGGACAGCACTGCTGAGGAGAGTGACTTGGAGAGGGAGGTGAGTGACAGCGAGGCAGGAGGGAGTCCCAAGGAGGAGAGGAAGAACCGCTCGCCTAAGAAGAGCTCCAAGAAAGGCAAGACACGAAGCTCCTCTTCCTCCTCCTCAGACGGGAGTCCGGAGCCCAAAGGCAGGAAGGTGAGCGCCCAGATGGGGCAGCAGGCCACCATCAGTGGAAAAGGAGACTGAGACTCAGGCCCCGCGGTCTGGGCCTGCAGCTGCTGCCTTTCTTTGCCAGGCTGCCGCTGGTCGGCGTGGTGAGGACCACCCAGCTGTGATGAGGCTAAAGCGCTACATCCGGGCTTGCGGGGCCTATCGCAACTACAAGAAGCTTCTGGGCGCCTGTCACTCACACAAGGAGCGCCTGAGCGTCCTCCGGGCTGAGCTGGAGGCCCTGGGCATGAAGGGTGAGGCTGGGTGTGCCCAGGTGGCCTTATGAGGGGGCTTCTGCTGCAGGGGAGGAAAGGATCAGTTGCCCCTTCTGCCTCTGCCTCAGGTAACCCTTCCTTGGAGAAGTGTCGGGCCCTGAAGGCGCAACGGGAGGAGGCAGCCGAGGTGGCCTCCTTGGACGTTGCCAACATCATCAGCAGTTCAGGTAAGGGGCTTCCTGTCACTCCCCCAGAAGGTGGGGCTTCAGCGCTCAAACAACTCGTCTCCTCTCCGCCCTAGGTCGGCCACGGAGGCGCACAGCCTGGAACCCTTCAGGAGAAGCGGCCTCCTCTGGGGAGCCATACCGCAGGACCCTGGACTCAGAGGAAGAGCGGCCCCACCCCCCACCCCCAGACTGGTCACATATGCACGGCATCATCAGCAGTGACGGCGAGAGTAACTGAACTCCCCCGACCCCCTAGGAGGGACCCCTGCCACTTGTACAAAGCACACACGGCACCCCTGTGCCCTGTGCTTGCACGGGCAAAGCGGCTTTCTCTGGAGAAGACGTTAAGTCCCTGGGGACACAAGTTATCGGGACTTGCCTTCTCCGCTTCGTTTTCTCAGCTTAGGGTGTTGACAGGTGTTTATTTTTTAAGATTCAATAAAAGTGTTTGTAGTCATCACATCTGGTGCTCTCCTCTTACCCTCTGCACTTTGGGCTGGAGCCGAGCAGCCACTGCTTCTCATCTGGCTCCTTTTCTTCTTCCCAGGTTCTCCAACGAAGTCCCAGCCCCCAGACCGTATCAGAGAAGGGCATGGCTACTTAAGGCTCCCCCCAGCCTGCCCGGTGAGCTCCTCCCATCACCCCGCTCTTATTTTAGTTGCACTGGATAACATAATACCTAGTTCAGAAGAGGACCTGAATACTCGGCCTTAGGAAGAATGTGAAGCATAAAATGACTTGGGGGACAGCTGCTGTCTGGTCCTTCCTATTCCCTTTCTTTTGCAAACACTTAGTGTATGGGCTGACTCTACTCCAGCATGAAAGTGGTAGGTAGAGGACCTAGAAGCCCTGGTGGCACAGTGGTTGAAAGTGCTTGACTGCTAACTGCAAGGTTGCCAGTTTGAACCCTCCAGCAGCTCCATGAGAGGTATCTCCCAATGATCTGCTCCCATAAAGATTACAGCCTAGGAAATCCCGTGGGCAGTTCTATTCTGTGCTTTGGGCTCGCTGTGAGTTGGAACCACTTGGCAATACACAACAGGACCCAGACCTGACCCCGTGCTTCTGGCTACAGATTGAGCCAATGCAGTCACCTAAGGACTTTGCTGGAATCTCTCTGTTGAGGATGATGGTAGATGTAAGCTGGGAGCCTATGTAGGAGGTAAATCTGAGAATCTTCAAAGCTAAAGCAAAGGAAAGCAGGGCAATTAAGAGGCCAAGTGGTTGCTGATGTGCTTGGAGGCCTTGAATCCAGTCATGCCTGAAGTCATCACAATCACTGAAGTTTTCAGCTACGTGGCCTAACCAATGCAAGGAAACTATCACTTGCTGTTGAAATGGCCCCACATCTTAGACAGAAAGGGCGAGTCCTGGGTCTGTTAGAATAACCAACAGTTTATTAAAAGCTTGCACTGGCGTTCTGTGCCAGCCCCATAAGCTGAGAGGGGCTCCCGTGACTGCCCCCATGCCTGGAGCAGCCCCTTCCAAGGTCTTTCCCTCATTCCCCCGCCCCAGCCCTGATCCCAGTTTAAAAAAGGAAAAAGGAAAAAAAAAAAAAAAAAAAAAAGGACAAGACGGCACAGGACTACAGACAGCAACGGGGGAGTGAAAAGACCCAGGTATCTGGACTCTTAAGATCCCATCCTTATCTTTCTTTCCTAGGAAGGCCACCTCCTCCTGTTCTTCCCGCCCCAGGCCCCAGGTCTGGGGGCCGTGGCACCCCCAGTCCATGGCCCCACTGCCGGGAGTAGTATAGTTTTCTGAATATATCTAGACCCACCCTTCCCCTCCCCCAGGGGACTAGATGAATATTTGACACACACATCTCCCTCCTTTCCCTAGGCTGTGATGGAGGGAGACCCTGGCACCATGGTGGGGAGGCAGGGGCTCCTGGTCAGCCTTGAGGCACTTATGCCCAAGCTGGCCCTGGGCCACTGGCCAGCCCCAAGAAGCTCATGAGATGAGGTTTGAAGGGAACTGGAGCTGACATCCTGTCCCCCACCCTTGGGTGGGCCTCAAACACTGCCCTCCGGGATCGGGCCCCACCCACCCCAGTCCAGCTCATCTGTTTATCCGCTTTTGCAGTTCAGGAGTAGAAGTGGGAGGAGCCATTGAGGATGTGGGAAGCAACACTGGTGCTGCGGCTTAGCGGCCCCGGCAGCGCAGCAGCAGGCGGACCCCCGTTCTCGCTGCCGCTGCCCCCTGAGGCTGCCCGCCGTAGGGGCTGGGGGCTGTTTCTTAGCAGCAGCAGGGCTCCAGCACGGGGTGTCCCGCTCTGTGCTGGGGTCCCCATCCAGTTTGGGGGACCCGGGGGAGCGAGCAGAGAGGGCTGACGCCAGGCTGGGGGGGGCATGCCTGGCGGAGGAGGGCCGTGGCTCCAGTGTGCCCCTGAGCGGGGAACAGGACGGGAGGGCCAGGCCGGGGCAGGGGGTGGAGCAGGATAGCCCTGGGCAGCAGCCTCAGCTGGGATGCCCCCAAGAGCCATGCTGGAGAAGCCCAGCCTCATACTCTCAGCATCGAAGGCCTCAATTTCCCGGGCCTGCCGCTCGAGCAAACTCCGGATTCGCTCGGAGCGCCCCGTCTGCAGGGCCAGCAGCTCTTCTTCCACCTGGGGCGCCCAGAACAGAGGTCAGAGAGTCGAGGGGTGGGGAGCCTGCCCCCTCCCCCACCCAGAGGCCGGGCGCCTACCCGCTGCTCCAGCAGGGCCCGCCTCAGAGCCGCCCTCTGCCCCAGCTCCCGCAGCTCCCCGTCGTGCTGACTCTCCGTGCGGATCTTGATCTTGCTCTGGTAAGCATTGAGCAGCTCCAACTCCTGCTGAAGCTGCTGTCGCAGGGCCTGGAACTCCGCCTCCTGGGTCTCGTCGAGCCGCAGCTGCGCAAGAACACCCCGTTTAGGGCTCTCCTCCGCACCCCCGTACTCCTCCCCTGCCCCAGGTAGGCCTGGGCCCTGAGGTTTCAAGAAGCAGCCAGTCTCAACATCTACCAAAATGCAAGATCGTCATACCCTGTGACACAGCAATTACACTTCCAGGAATTTATCCCCCAGGTATACTTGCACATGTGCTCGAAGGTGTTCACGGAAGCGATGTAAGAGCAAAATACTGGAAACCACCTAAATGTCCACCAATAAGGGTTTGGTTAAATAAATCATGGTATGGCCATACCACAGAAAACTCTACGCTGCTAAAAAACAAAAATGAGGTATGTGTACAGACATGGATGTACAGACGTGGAAAGGTGCAAGTAATAAATATTAAGGGGAAAAAGGAAGTTAGAGAACAGTATGTAAAGTGTGATTCCATCTCGGTTTCAAAGTTTTACATAATTTTCCAAATACGCATAGGAAAAAAATCCACAATAGTCATTAGTAACACTAGTTACCTTTGAGAAGGGGGACGTGGGTGAGGGAGAACGGCAAGGAACGGGCCCTGTCACACTCTATGCCTATTTTATGAGTGGCCAGTGCCAGTGTTGCATGTCATCGCTTAGAACAGTAAACTTCAAAATCCTCCAGGTTTGGGGAAAATGGGTGCCAAGGCCACAAGCATTTTGACCTGTTTCCTGTAAACACAGTAAACTAACTCAGGCCCAGTAAAAAAAATTATAGCCACTCATTTCCTTGGTGGTTCTTGATAGGGTAGGCAGGATGGCTTTGTCAACACCTTAAGAAAATACTAAGAGAAATGATAAAACCATTGTGGAGAACACGTAACAGTGGGAGAGTATCTCAATTTCCCAAGCACAAAAGCCCCCACCACCCAAAGCTACACTGTAAATGCGAGGCCGACCACCACCACGCTCTCTCCCTGGACCCCAGGCCTCACCGCCTGCGAGCTGAGCATTTCTGAGATGGACTGGTCGTACTGCTCGGCCAGGATCGCCAGCTTGCGGGTCTGCTCTTCCTTGAGCCGCTTAAGGAGGCTCTTGTGCTGCGCTTTGGGGGTGGTCTCCAGCAAGTGTGCCCGAAGAGCCTTGTACTGCCGAGTCTGGATCTTGCACGTCTCCTGGAACTGCTTCTTGATCTGCAGCTCCTTCGACTACGCAGTGGATGGATTGAAGGGAGATGGGGGCGGGGGAAGGAAGAAGAGGAAAAGGAGAAACAACCAGGGGAGAGGGGAAGAAGAAAGAGAGGAGGAGAGGAGACAGAGCAGAGACAGGGAGAGGGAGAGAAACAGAAAACATGTTAGACAGAGGGGGCGGGGGGAGCTACACACAGACACAGAGAGACGGGACTGGAGCTAGAGATCAGGGAGGCTCTTGGGCAAGAGATGCAGAGAGGACGTGACAGGTTCCAAGAGCACATTCACAGAGCTGGGTGCAAAACCCACAAGAAAGAGCATCAGAGAGCATATTCACAGACAGGGAACCGAGAATCTGGAATGGAATGCCGAGTACACACGAGAAGCTCTGATCATGCAAAGAGGGAAAACCAAGTCACACAAAACACCCATGGAAGAAAGCAACACAACTAAGGAAAGACAGAGGAAGTCCCAGGTTCGGCACCTCAGGGAGGAAGGGAGGGAAGGAGGGTAAGCACTGAGCTGAGAGATGGATAAGAAGGAGTTGCCCCATCTCGGGCTACGTAAGGGAAAGGGGCAAAGGAGGTGGCCAGAAAGGGCCTGACAAATTCAATGAGCAGCTGCCACCCTCCCCACCAGATCCACATGCCAGCCCGGCTCCACACACACTCAGCTCCCACCCCAAGCCCACAACCAATCCCTTTTCCACTGCCCCCACGCTCTGCCTGGTCCCCCAAGCTTACTCCTCCCCACTGTGAAGGGTTTGCAGTCTTATTCCCCAACCCTCCAGGGTAATATACTCAATGCCACGAGGAGAATTCTGCTCTCAGACAGCAGGAAACCACGTACGGAATGGGTTGGGAGAGAAGGCAGGGGCTGGGAGGACAAAGGACCCGGACCCTAAGTGGTCTCAGGAAGCAACCTATGAACCGGGAAACTGTGGCACCAAGAAGCTCTGTGCAAGTTCAACAGGGGTCCGGACCGCAGAGCTGGGGGTGGTCGTGGTGCAATGAAACTACAAAGGCAGAGAGCATGAGGCTGAGGAGTGAAAGGGGTTAGGAGACCGCAGATGGCAGTGAAGAGGTCATGGAACTGGGGGTCAAGGGTCCAGACTGGGGGCATCCCGGGGAGGCTAGGCGGCAGGACAAAGCAGACAGAGGCAGCCTGGGCCAAAGGCACAGTTCCGCTCAGATATTTTATTTGTGTTTGTCTTTTTCGTT